ATATATATATATATATATATATATATATGTATGTTATTGAAACACTTCCAAATAGACATTGTTGGCAGTTGTTTGCTCGTACATTGGCAATCATCCATCTTTTGCTTTTGTGCTGAGAGAGAAGGGCAGCTGCACACTGATGAGGGATGGGCACCTTTATTTATTTATTTACTTACTTACTTACTTACTTACTTACTTACATTGCCGATGACCCTTTTACATTGTTTTATACCGAAATGTTACTGGATTCATAAATATTTGTTGTGGTAACATCTTTTCCTAAAAAGAGCAAAATAAAAGTGCAGTGCTTTTAGTAGGTGTATTTATGTCCAACAGTAAACCAAGCATAATTGTGAAAATCATAAACTTGGATCAATGATAATGATGTCTCATTTTAAAAGCATTTTTTATGAGGTAGACTTGCCTCATGCAATTAATCGATTCATGAAATGAGGTCAAATGACCTCATTGAGCTGGTTTGTTCAAGCTCATGTGTCACACTCCGTCCAGGCAAACTCATTCCCCTGAAAAAACACAACTTGTCTCTGCCTTTTTTTTTTTCTCACGAGTGTGGAATAAAAACCTCAAAACAGCGATGACACATTTTTTTTTTCCACGCTTGAAGTGTGGCTCATCAAATTATGGGTTAGGACTAGGACAGCCGACGAGCTGCAGCGCTGTGAACGTCACATTGATTTGTCGGTATGCTCTGCCTGCCGCTCACTATATCTGTTGTCATCCTGTCTTTTAGCGCCTCTTAATCAGGGCTTGAAAAGGCAAACATAAGCTTAGTTAGTCAGCCCTCATTCTTACAGGAAGCAACCATTGTTTGTGTTTACGGGGCCCCAAAAAAATGTGAGTGACTTTAGATGCAAGTTCATTCTTGTTGTAACCTGTTACAGCTTTGTGTCAGTGGTACTTTGGTGCGAGGTAACACATTTGGATGAACAGACAACTGTGGCACTCCACTCAGTGAAGGCAAAGCAGAAATATGCATCCCGGGATTAAAGTTAAAACGTGCGGAGCATTTGAGTTGAGTGGGGGATGATGGGCACAGCAATATGGAAAGAGTAGCACTGCATACTCGTGCAGCAGCTTTTTGCTATTTTCTTGCACTCCGCCATTGTGGTTATATAACGCACTCCCCCCCAAAATGCGCATGCTTTCTGTGTTTCTGTGGTTGACATTTGTTCAGGAAGTTTTCATCTCAGGGTCAGCGCGATCTCAAGTCGTCACTGTTGATAAATTCCACTCGAATGTCCTTTTTGGATTCTTTTGTTTATTCTGACAAGGGCTGGAACTAATTATTATTTGTATAATCAATTATTCTGTCAATTATTTTGCCCGTTTAATCAATTACTCTGATTTAAAAAAAATAATGTTTCCATTCCATTATTTAAATACAGGACATTATTTCACATTGACGGTGCAGAAAGTGCACCAACTTACTTTGTAAATGAATTATGAGTCCGTTTCGGGTTTGGTGTGTAGCATTTTAGAAAATTGGCAAATATTTTGATCATTGTTTTCCAAAGTAAAATCAGACGTTTGCAACTGTCAAATTTGGGTTCGAAACAAAAATAGAATCAGTCAGCTTTAATGGAGGACTACAGGAATCCGAGTGTTTACTTTTAAGAGTTTGAAATTCAGACGATTTGGACAATTTTATATTAAACATTTGTTTTTTTTTTTTTTTTTACAGTTGATTCATCCAAATAAGTATTGATTAATTTGATAAGCGATTAGTTGTCGATTAATCATTGCACCTCTAATTCTGTCAGTTGATACGTTTGGTCACTATGGGATAATTCAGTGTTTTAATTATACCATTAAGAATTTTGACTTTATTCACGGAATTCATTCCTATACACATGATGTCTGCGAGATTTTGTTGTATTTCAATTTCGGATATACAATTGCTGTGTTTTGTGATGGTTCACTTTACGGAAGATGGACCCAACTCATGCTCCCGTGCTTTCTCCACAGAGCTGTCAACAAGGTTGATGCAGAGCAGAAGGTAAGCCTGCATTCGTCTGTTGTTTCCACTCGCCACATCTGCACAAGCAGTTTGTTACTTACTAAAGTGCCTTGGCTGAGACTTTCTGTAATTGTTGCTCTCGTTTGACCCGAACTTTGTGTGGTGCCACTTTGGCTTAAAAGCAATGTGATTGGCCCGAGTCACCTGTCAAAGCTCTGACAGCGTCCAGAGGCTGCGCCTTAGCGAAGCATCAGCACGCCACTGAATCCTTTCACCGGATGGAGTGGCGTGAAAGATGCTTTGGAATTTCCTGTCTTTTATTCTGTGTGCGATGCCTTACATTCCCCCTGATACCAGACTGAAAGTGGTTGTGACACATTTAGTTTTGCCGTCACATCTCTCAAGCGCCACTTGGCTGGCTGATTACAGTTTGAAAAGCACAGCGGTGTCATGAACCGCCTGGTGCTATGCTCTGTTCTTAGGACAGCAGCTGGGACGTGATACTTCCACAAAGTCAACGCTGCATTTTAGCGGCTGTCCTTTTCAGTTTGTGCAGGACACTGATTGCAAAATCGATTTGATGTGTGACAATTTCTCACGATGGCCACTTTCATTTGATCATTTTAAAATCATATTTGGGCCACACAAATAAATTGCATGGCTCTTGAGCACATAATCTTTGTACAGGAAAAATGAGTAGTTCATCATTTGTGTGGAGAAACTATGCGTCTTCAAATAAAGTTCAGTTCACGAAATGATGTCTGTGTGCTTGTCAAACTTCTAACTGCATGCTGTGTGCTGTGTTGCATTCTCTCCCTCTCGACACTACGTAGGGCTCACGCGCCGAGGCTAGCGTACAGCCCAAGTACTCCTTTGCCCCGAGCACCACCATTAACAAGATGGCGAGGCCTTTCTCAGCAGGGGGTGCTAGTGCAGGACCTGTCATAAAGCCTGTGGCCTACTCACCTAAACTTAATACGCCTCGCTGTCAGGGCCGGGCCGGTGTGCTGCAACCACAGAACGGGTAGGTGCGGCAAACGACAAACATGCGCTCTTGTCAAAATACACAACCACGATACATGACACATTTCTTCTCTTTGGTTGCACCCAACTGCTCCAGACTCTGATTCAAATCTACGTTTATCTGACTTAGAGGTTGTCTCTCTTGGCTTCAAATGGAACTTATTTCCAGGAATCGGGAGAGACATGTCACATAAACCACTTTTAAGAGCCTCTGAGGTGTCTTTCATTTTTTTATGTCCTCCCTTCATAAAGAGCTTCACTCAAGCGTGACATTATCAAATATTTCCATTTGGCTAGGCTTTTTGTTTGACCAGTTTCTGCACATTTTTTAAGTTATCAACAATACTTATGTTTACGGAAAAAAATAACTTGGTTTCCACTGAAATTATGTCATCCAATCAAACCCCAGCCAAGGCAAAGGAATGGAAAAGCGATGTCCTTAATAGGAATGCGCATTGAACTACACCTTCTTGATACCTTGTGGACAAAATTAATTAATCAATCAATTCATCAGTGTTAAAATATTTCTATACTAAGGAATGTGCTCTTTTGCATAGGTATCTGAATTCTCTTTTTTTTTTTTAAATCACAATTGTTTTAAGGAAAAAAAGGAAAACCAGACCTGCTGAGGAAAAGATGGTCAAACAGTAAACCTTTTTACAGCATGCTAACATCAAGAAGTCAAAAGTCTCGAAACGGTCAGTCGAGCAAAGGTCGACACGGCTGAAGCAATGTGGAGATTCACGTGCTAATTTTGCTGGCCCGTGTGATCACATGGATGGTTTGGGTAAACACACTTTATTCCTTTTCCACTGGTCTGTGGGATTACAATCATGAGATAGGAAAATCTGTTTTGTGTATGTTCTGAGCTCCTCTTTCAAGACCAGTTTTGTTGTAAACAGAATAATGCTGCCCAGAGAACTTCGGCCAAGCCTGTGCGGATGGTGATCTTTAGACCACAGTCTAGTCCGGTGGTCGGCAACCCGCGGCTCCAGAGAGCCGCATGCAGCTCTCTAGCGCCACCCTAGTGGCCCTCGAAGCTTTTTCAAAAATGTTTGAAAATGGAAAAAGATGGGGGAGTGAAATATATTTTTGTTTTAATATGGTTGATGTAGGAGGAAAAACATGACACACACATTCTTAATGTTTTCTAATGCTGTAAAAATTAATTTTCAATATTTCTGTCAACGAAGATTTGCGTCATAGCCTGCGACACACGTTTCTATTAGCAGGGCGGGATGCCAGGCAGGTGCCTGTTGCAAAAAAAAAAAAACGGCCTTTCATGTACAATTCACTGAGGGTACTGGCAAAGATTGGGAATCTGGAGGGCCAATAGAAGCATTTTAAAACGGTACACGTGAGCTACGTAGTTAACACAACCATCCTGAATTTTTAATGATGTAGAACGTAGCAGTATGACATCACAGCGTTTCCTTGATTACGCGAATGTAGTTGCTGTTAATTTGGGTCACAGTAATCGCGCGACTTGTGCCACCAGTGGCGGATGTGGCTTGATGCTTTGTTGAACCAGCCCGACTCATCAATTCTGCGGAGCTGCACACAACTTGGAAACCTTGGTGCTGGATTATTTAAGCAGACTGTCTCACTGGAGTGTTCCTCGTGGTTGGTTGGCGTGTGGCAGAATTGCCTTGCTGTGCAGAAAGATAACGACTAGTTGAGATGAAGCCATCGCTGGATCTGCCTAAACTTGAACCATTTTGGATGATAGCCTGTTATTTCAACATGGTCACTTTGTGTGTAGAGCACCCAAGTTGTCGTTGGAGACTGAGTCACAGCACAAGAGGACAACATGAGAATGGCTGCGGCACTGTGGAAGTGCTGTCTTTGGGCAAGCGCCAAAGCCATTTACATAACTCTTGAAAAGCATTTGCGTACGTTGCTGAGAGCATCGCAATGACAAATGTTTTGTGCCAAATCGTTATGGCTCAGCGTGAACAACAGATAGGCCTGACAGGCGCACAATGCAGTCTCTCTCTCGCAGAGCCCACCGACGATAAAAGCATGCCTCTGCTTAACTCTTTGCATGTTTGCTGCATTCGGATGATGGCTCCGGTTCTGCACAAATTCTGTTCTCACCCCCCCAAATGGTGCTCTGACCACTTTTTCTTTTCTCTTTTTGTTTTCCCTCTCTTCTTTCAACTTTGCAGATGGAGACTCTTGAAAAGTTAGTACATTTCCTTCCCTCTCAACTCCTTAATTACGAGAATAGTAATATTTTTTATGATAATATTGTTGTGGTGTTACAAGAAAAAGTTTTAATAGTGGAAGACAAGAATTTTATCAAGTGTCAAAATTTCCTAACACCAATACAAACGCAGCATTCTGAACCTCACCTAGATCGTCATAAAATCCCTCATTAAATCACAATTGTTTCATCGAATTATAAATTCAGTCTCTTCTTATTACTTTTTAACATTCTGCTCGTAATTCCGATGTTCGTAAATACTTTTGTAACTCTCACTTGCTTACCAATTTTTACTTATTTTTTTCCTTTATTTACTTCTTAGCACTAATAAATCTTCGTAATGCTCGGGGCTGCAAACTACCAAGTGCAATAATGGGTGTTTTGTTCAATTAATGTCTCCCCGACAGCGTTGAAACCAAACTAACCATTTGAAACGACGGACGTAACGGCAATAAAATAAGTGAATATCTCAAGGTAACTGTGGCAACACCGATGATCCGTTTTAGACAAGTGACATGAAACGGTACAATTCCCCGAGTCATCCCCGTTGATGATCTGTCGCGGTACACTGTGATGCTTCGGCACCCTGGTTGGGGATCACTCATTAGCATTTCAGACAGTTTGCTAGTTTTTCCCCTTTGCCAACTCATTGTGATCTTTGCAACACCTTTTATGCACTAGTAATAATAATAATAATAATACATTTTATTTATAAGCGCCTTTCAAAACACCCAAGGACACTTTACAATCAGGAACAAGAACTATTGGAGACTGCCAGAATCTTTTTTCGACACCATTTATGCTATTTATGTTCATTTGTAGTTCATCGCCATCATCACTCTCTACCCCCTGCTGTTGATCTCAATATTGTGTTTTTGGTCTGTTCTGTAGGGTTGAACCTACCTTCTATGATATGTGCCAATCATCCAAGTAAGGGGCCTGTGCATGCAGATTGCTTGGTTGGTGTGTGTGTGTTAAGACGCACCTATAGATGTATTTTTTTTTTATTTATTTATTTTTTGGGGAAGTCAGTTGGGTCAGATATGGTTGAATTAAAAGCCTTGTGGCCCACATTCCTCACATTCATTGTAGTTATTGCATGATCAATTCTGGATGTCCTGTGTTCAACATGGCCTGCTTGTCTGGTGTTTGTGAACAGGTCGTCCGGCTTCTAGTTTAATGCCTGCCGTGGGCTGCTGGTTATGCTTATGTTAGGCACAGCCTCAGGATGGAGAGCATGCCCTGTTTTATCCCCAACGACCGCAGCAAAAAGAGGTTGATCCAGGACACAGAGGACTGGCAGCCTCGCACCGGTACCACCCAGTCACGCTCTTTCCGCATCCTGGCGCAGCTCACTGGCACTGACTTCAGTAAGTCCGGGACCAGGCCTGGCATGTTCACGTTGTAGATGGACTACTTGTGTGAGCGTGTGACTGAATAGGACATTTGTTTTGGAGCTCACTGAGGGCGAACAAAAAGGAACAATAGATTTAATTCATGAGTGAAACACGTGAGCCAAATCAGCAGCCATCCATAATGCATTTTGATATCGCAAATTTACAATTGCCCTCCATTTTACGACATTCATATACCTGTCAAGTCCTGGAAGTTTGGATCAAATGCTTGAAAATATTTTGAAATTCATTTTTATGTCAACATCCATTATCTATCGCTACACATAGACACATTATTGTGTACTGTACTAACTTATTTTATGTTTGTTATTGCAAATTTTCATTTCTTTATAGCATAATAAGGTCTCCCATTTTTTTTTAAAGGATAATCTAAAATCTATATTTTTCTGCATTGGAAAGGAGCTGGGCAAACTAAAAAAGAAGTTCAATTCATCCCGCCGCACTTTCATTTGACTTTAGAAAGTTTAAGAACCCTGCATTAAGTGTCTCTTTCTCTCTGCAAAACTTGCTTGGAATAAAACAAGTGAAGTGGGCTTATTGTTTCACTTCGATGCCGAGTGCACTCTAGGTTATTTTCAGAGTTGCAGTAAGTTGCCTCCATTTTGCACTGTTGGCTAAGCTTTGTCTTTGACTGGCACCACAGGAAGAATTAAAGCTTTCTGATCAGTTAACCCTGCAAATTGTCCCGCTAATTGTTGCATCGAGAATTAACAGTATTCCAAATTGTGCACCGCACCACTTTTATTGTTTTAATGACTTTTGTCGCAGTAGTCATGACATGAAACTGGTCGGACCGATCGTTGTGCACGACTTTGGAGAAGCTATGAAGCTATTCGTGTCCTATCAAACACTGCAGTCCAAGTCCACAGGACGAACTTTCACCTGTCATTCCCACATTGGTCACAAGAAAAGCACAATCTTGTTTTTTGACTCATCCATTTTGATCAGAGGTGTGTGTCACCTCGACTAACGTGCGTATGTGTGTGTTTCCTGCATCTTGCAGTGCAGGACCCAGATGATGAAACCATGAAGAGGGCCAGGTAAAGCCTGAGCGCAGTTCTTAGTGGTTCAGTACTTGTTTCATTGTAGGCTAGTTTAGCATGTACTGTGTGCATGTGCGTGTGTGTATGCAAGGTTCACTTTGTAGGTCCAACATAATAATTTGTAATTGTTTTGAAGGAGGCTCATTCTGCAACCCCTCTGGTGTATTTGTGCTTTGAACTCATTTTGCCTCTTTGCTTTTTTCCTCCATGTAATGTTTCCTTTCGTCCATGTGCTCCTCTCTTCTTTGCGGGCAGGGAAAAGTTCCTCACTGAGATTCAGAGCCCCCGTTACGCCCGTCTGAGGGACTGGCACCACGACAGGTCGGCTCGCGCCCTAAATATCAAATCCTGAACGACACCGCACGCCGAGCCTGTTAGACTTAGTCGCATCTCAAAGACGACGAAGATAGCCAACCATCAGGTGGCAGATAACTTGACACAGATGGGACGGCGACAATGAAATTTTGAGAGGGGTTGGGGGGGGGGGACTGTGTAAAGATTCCCAAACTCTAGGCAATTTAGCCAACATGACAAAGCTTTAAAGTGGAACGTTGCAAACTGAGCCAAGTGTTCAGACCAGTGGGCTACTGTGCCTAAAGTCCTAGTTTCAATCCGACTGAGCTAGTGGAGGACAACTCGTGTGCGCGGATTGAAGGGGGGTGGGGGGGTATGCGGTGGGAAGTACCTTACTTGTTTGATTCTCTCCCACACTTAGTCTTCTTACTTCTCACTGAGTTTTCATTTCTAATCATCTCATCTTGTGTGTGTGTCCCCAAACATTAAGAAAGAAACCACCAAGCTGTACCTGACTCTTTGTTTTCCCCTTTCCTGTCATCAGAAATACAAAACATCTTACAAAAACATCGTCTTGCCTTTCTCTTATTTTGTGTGTGCTTCTTTTCTTTCAAGTTTCCATCTTTCTTTATGCGAGCCGCCATCTTTGCAGCTCATTTCTTGGCGTTCAGTGCAGCCTCCTGGTGAGCTCACCTTGCACAGGCTTGACTTGATAGGGCGTCTGTTCGCACTTCACACTTCTATTGCCTCATGGAGAAAATAGTTGTGCAATTAGTCATGAAAACTCCAACCCAAATGCATGAACATGCGTCATTAAACAACTTTGTGGGATGAAGTAAAAAAAAACAGCCTGTAGTCTAACATGAACTCTCCAGCCAGAAATAATTGGAATGTAAAAGCTAGTACTACTTGAATTCTATTTAAATCCTTTTGGTTCGTTCTCTTGAGAGCTGTGGTAATCAAAAGAAAACGGCACCCTCAGAAAGCGATTTCGGCTTTAATGATTTGACTTCTATTTTTCGGACTTTAAGTCGCTCCGGAGTAGAAGTCGCATTTTTTGAGGAAAAAAAAAACAACAGTGTATGTAATATCTCGTCTTCATTGATTAACTCAAGGTAAAATAAAAAATAAAATTCCAAATAGGCCAAATAGTCTCTTGGTCAACAAAAAGTATTAAAATGGAGACTTGATAAATAATTTCCGCAACTAGGATGACATTTCTTCCACACAAAAGCAGGAAGTACAATAGTTGTAGTTGTAGTACGACTAAAACACGTACACTTGCTAGTGATTCAATGCGAATGAGTGAACGGGAATGTGACCGTAAATAGGAAGGAATTTGCATTAAATATGATATATTGAAGAACCGACAGCCTGTATTGGCCCGGCATTGCGAACAAGTGTGGAATTACTACTTAACCAAACATTGTGACAGATTTTTGAGTGGCATGTACTACATACGTACACTCGGTTTGTGGTCAGTAAGCACAACCAGAATTCATACATATTTTGGTTTTTGAGAAAATGGTTTTGAAATGTGCCTGTTAGAAGAAGAAAACAAAGAATTTTTAATAGAAGAAGTAGGAGTCATGGCAACTAATGTGTGACATACAGCATGTCGCGAATTTGCTACCACAACGGGGATTTACTATTTACATCACCAAAAGGCGCAATAACCTCCCAGGATTTGGCCACAATGCGATGCAGAATTCTAGTTAAGGTAAGCCATTTTAACTTAAAAAGAAAAAAAATTCCAAAGTTAGAAACGGAAGTTTCGAATCCCAGCAGAACTCGTTCGATGCTGTTGACAGAGTTAGGGAACGGGGATTTTGGGTGACAAACCCAGCTCTAATTTTAATATATACTTGTCGTAGCTACAAGTCACACCTGAGCACAAGTCGAAGGAGAAGCCAAAGTATGATTTAGAGTCCTAAAAATACACTATTACTTTGTCAAAGGAGTTATCGGTGGCGCGAAATGTGACTAATGAAAAAAGTATTGACAACTTAATAAAATCATTGGTGTACATCTGACCACCTTCTTGAAAATGAGCTGGAAAAACTGTCTGACGTTTTGCTTTGGATAAATGACTGTAGTTTTGTGGCAAAACAGTGATCCTGAAGTGGAGAGAGATAGATATATATAATTTTTTTTTTTTTTTTTTTTTTTACAGAGGAAGTCAACTCCAAAATGTTCTGTTCAATCACATGTTCAATGCACCCCTGCAAGGCAAAAACACATTCTAATTAATATTGCATTTGTGGAATATGAATTAAGCTGCAAAATTCGCCCATTTTTCTCCATCTCAGTGGGTGGCCATTTGGTCACCTGCTGTTGACTGAAAACGACATCACAGTCGCTCAGGTTGCAAATGTCACATGACCAAACATAGAAACCTGGTGAGTCGTTATAGGTTGGCTTTCACAGTTTGTGATCAGAAATAGGGAAAAGCAAAGTTTATATATGCCAAATATCATGATTTTTCGTATTTTGTAGATTCAGATGTTATTGTGCCAGTGGTAGATCCATGACAGTTTTTGCACACGTAGTATGGTCACGTGTGAACATTGTTGCTGCCTAATGAAAAGCAGGTGTACCTTGTCCATATCTTCTTGCCAAACACAAAGACCACTTGCTCTCCTTGGTGTTTCAGATGAGGGTAAACTATTTTGGAAATGCATGTTTTTCCACCGAATAGCAACAACAATGCACTTAATCGGAACTAATTCAAAGCCTGAGTCGGTTGTCAAAGTTGTGCTTTGAACTGCAGCTGTTCAACTCTCATCAAACAGCTGCAGCCGCTCATTTTTTTTTTTTAACCCCAAAACAAAAGTATCAAGTAACCTGTTGACATTCTTAACTGCCACGCAAGGGTAAAAAACAACCAGCTTTAACTTGTATGTCCGTTTTTCTTTATCCTTGTTGTCCCCTTGTTGAGGCAAGTCCTTATTTGGGGCATAAAAACTGATCTTTAAATATGTTTGATTCAAATTTGGGATGAACCGTGTTTTTTTTTTTTTTTGTAAATAAATAAAATGTTGCTTGAATTGTTCGCGTTTGAGGTATTCCACTTTAGCGGTGTGTTTTCATGAATAAGAAAAAAATTGCAGAATGAGCGGAGCAGCCGTGAGACATGCAGCCTATTTCGGAAAGTTGTCGTGTTTTGTTTGTCAACCTGCATCACCTTTTGCGTGGCAGATGACATGTGCTGTCTTTTTCCGTCGCAAAAGAAAAGAGAAAGCTTTTCTTTTCTCTCCTTTGAAATTCAACGCCGTCTGTGCTCAAGTCGACACTTTCCTCTGGGGACCGGGCCAAAATAAGAACAACCGAGGTAGATGAGAAATCACAGGTGGAAAGAATGAACCGCAAATGTCAAGGCGTCTGTGGCTTGTTACTCTGCAGCGAGCAATCGCGCACCTGCATCTCCCTTGGCTTGGGGGCGGTTGGTCCTAAGTTGAAAGAGGTGAAAATGTCACGAAAACACACTCCAGGCCACTCCAGCTGGGAATAGACACGGTTGAGGGTGCACCTGTACCCTTCGGCAGCCTGAGGAGCAGACAAACAACAACAGGCGGTCTCGGAGGAGCTGCTTGTCTGCTGGAGGAAGAAATGGACCTTCGGCTGATCCCGGGTCTGCCGCTCAAACCCATTTAAGCCGCTTTCCTTGATTTGACCTCTACTTCTCCTCCATCTCAGCAGCTGTGTTTCATTTAACTTACTTCCCATCATCGGGGATGAATTATTAATATATGCTGTTGGCAAACGCATTTTTCTTGCGCTGCCTCCTTGCGGCACATTGGATACATACGTTGATTAATTGAGAGGCGCAGCGAAACGCGATGAGTGGGGCGAAGCTGAAGAGCAAAGTTGAATCGGGGTAATGAGTTGCCCGATTTTTTTTCTTTGTCAACCAGCTGCGATTTCATCATCTCGCAGTGGCTGATTGTAGACGGCACTGTTGATGTTGTAAACACGAGAGTCGCTTTAGGCGCTCTTCTATATATTCCCCCCCCCCACCCCCCAGAATGACACCTCTCCAGAGTCTTCACTCACAACTTGTTTTCCCTCCATCTGAGATTGAGTTTGAAGATTTTCTGAATATAGTGACGCTCGCTGCGGGTAACAGAACTTTTAGATGCAGAAACAAGTCCTTATTTCCTCAGCTCGGCGCATGCCGGCTGAAAGCCAAACGCCTCTGGATTCCGAATATGACGGGACCCCACTGAACATGTTTGATGAGTTTCATGTCTGTGAACTTTTGTCTGGGAGTTCTGGAAAACAGTCAAAAGAGTTTGGGTGCCACTGCCATTATTCTTTATCATTGTGTGTGTGGAGCAAATTTTGATTCAGTTTCTCAGTTTGTTTTTTTGTTTTTTTTTTTACCAGGTGAGACTAAAACATCATCTCGCTGGTATGTTGCATCTCAGTCTAAAAGTGAACCGAATAGAACTTGACCTTACTCCAAGTCAATGTTCGTTTTAAATTCATGAAATTGGTTCACGTGTTGGAAGGCCTCGCTCACCAATTTTTGCACATTTGTAAAAATTGTAATCACAAGTGTATCTACAACATTTTGTGTTAGTAATGCCACGAGATCCCGTTCACCTGTTGGATGGCGATGCACGTCTGATTGGTCAAAGTCAGACTAACGCATACATTTCCATATGACACTCCTCGTACGTCTTTGCGATACACATGTTGAGTTTGCACGGGCCATTATTGCGATGATATACTACGCAGCCTTAGAAACGCACTCCGCCGTTTCCCTTATAAGGACATCAAAAACTGCCGGGTTGCCAAATTTAAATGGCCCATGACAATGCAGTGAAGAAGCATTGGAAAATCAGCAGATGTTGTAATCTAAATGCAAGGATACACACAGCTGTAGAATTCCAGAACCCACAAAAAAAAAAAAAAAAAAACATGGTCACAGTATATACATCAGTGAAAAGCAGGATCTTTTCAAAAAGTGCACAAAATTGCACCAAACAAATAAACAACCTGTTTGCTTCACCATGGGTGAATGTGTTATTGCTAATTTTTAAAATGTGATTTCTTTGCTACCTTCAGTACTGATTTAACTCCTCAGCCGAGTTCCCTCACTGCGGACCCATCACACTGTTCACATGTAATGTTTCGATTGTCCACACAAGGTAATACGAGGCCACCGAGGCTGCTGCTATCAACACAAACATGACATGCATCGTTATCGAGAGCTCTGTACTTTTTTTTTCTCTCTAATTAGTCATCTTCTCTTCATAGTGTTGAGCCAACTCCATCGCCTGCCAAAACTCAGACAGCCAGTCAACCAGATGGTGAGTTTGTCATCCTTCTGATGCATTAAAGCAGCACGTAGGATGCGCTAATGCATTTTTATTAAGTGTCGATACATGAAGGATCAACAACTGCATTCAAGTGTCGAGAGACATCCGGAGCGCCCACCCCCTCCCACCATCACATTTGGCGGAACGATTCAAAGTCACAGCCTGTTGTGTTTTTTATTTGCTCAAAACAAATTCCAATGAGTGCTTGTTTTCCTTAAACGCAGGATCCAAAACTGCAGCCTCAGGCATCTCGGCTCCTTCCTCCCGACCCCCGTGGGTCACCGACCCTAATTTTGCCGACCGTTATCGTCCGGATAAGACGAGCACGGTGGTGACGCAGCACCAGCAGCTGGTTCAACCCACGCCAATGGAGAACCGCAGTTCCATCCTGCAGGCGGCGCAGCAGACGCCCCAAGGCAGTGAGAGGACCCCGGTGTGCGGCGCCTGCAACAAAATCATCAGGTGGGAATCTGAGACGGTTCTTAGAGGATTCGAATCACTTACTCATCAAATCACAGACAAAAATTAATAGAAATCAATGCGAGTATCGAGAGCTTGAAGGAAATTGGAGTGTGGGTTGCATGTCGCCAGTGGGGCGTGTCGGAGTCTCTCATCTGTGGAGCGCAGTCATTAGAATTTAGTGATTTGGCAAGTCATCAGAACATTGCTGACGTTTGCTACCCATAAGCAATAACGTTCAACTCGCATTTTTCGTGATTTACCGTATCGTGTATGTTGTTCAAAATGGTCGTCGTCATAAAGGTATGCTTCAGATCAACGAGGTCGATAATTTTGCGCCTTGGGCCTGTGAACACCCAAAAGTCAGCAAGGCACTCTTTTTTTTCCTTCCTCCATTTCCCCCTTCACCTCTCGCGATCGACTTGGTACCAGTCTGCGGGTTACCGGTCGATCGTATTGGGCACCCCTGCTCTAAAACATATGATGCATTGAAAATATATACATATTTTTTTTTCATTAGTTTTATTTAGATGAATGAAAACGCACAAAGCTTTTTATTTTGTCGGACACCGTTGCTGCAGCGCCGAACTGTTTGCCATGAAAAATTAGTGACTTTGTGGCTATGAAAGATGCACCTAGCTGAAGTGACCGTGAAGCCGTGTCGTGCTCCCCAGGGGTCGTTACCTCGTCGCATTGGGACACTCGTGGCACCCCGAGGAGTTCACGTGTTCACAGTGCAAGACGGTCCTGGAGGAGGGGGGCTTCTTCGAGGAGAGAGGTTCCGTCTTCTGTACCAAGTGCCACGATAACCGCTACGCACCCAACTGTGCAAAGTGCAAGAAGAAGATCACGGGGGTGAGAGAATGAATCTAATGCGACTAAACATCCGAGCGGGGGCCGTTGTTTGAAATGGGACTTAATGGATGTAAATGCATGCTGGAGCCGTGGTGAAAATAAAACATTTACTAGCTTTTCTCGCCCTATCAGGAAATCATGCATGCCCTGAAGATGACCTACCACGTTCAGTGTTTTAAGTGTGCAGCCTGCAAGACTCCTATCAGGAACCAGGCCTTTTACATGGAAGAGGGAGAGCCTTACTGCGAGAGAGGTAAAAAGTTACTCCCAGCGCACACGACATTAAAGCTGAGCCGACAAAGTAGACAGACGCTATGGGAAGGTGGAAGACATGCGGCATTTTGTTTGATTCTGATGAATCCAAATTAGAGAGCTCATCCCTGGTGTTGCCCATAATACACGAGGACATGAAGGCATATTAGGGGCCATGTTGAAAAAAAAATATATATACTACTGAACATGGGCGTCATTAGGCCTATTTTAGGGAGGCTTCAGCCTCCCTAAAAATGTCTTTAGCCCCCCTAAATAATTTCATTGCATTATTTAAAAAAAAGTATTATTTATTTTTCCTGTACTTTTGCTAATATATTGCATCAAATTCAATGTAATGTGGCCATTTTAAATTATATTTCGATAACCTACCATTAGTGTAATCTTAAATCTCCCAGGTTTCCTGAACGCAACAGGGTTTGCGTTAGCATTTGACGTGTCTGTCACCATCGCCACATCAAATGCTAACGTAACAACTGACAGTTCATTGCCGAAAGTCAGGTTGAGTCGACAGCATGGATAGTCGACAGTTTTTTAGAAAGGTAAATTAAGTATTCAATGCATCCATGCTGGTAAAACTAGTGACTATAGTCCGCTAAAATATCTCCAGTAACAGCAGAAACTGCACTGTAACAAGTGTTCACTTTTGGATAAATTAAGGTGGTGCTTAATAAAAATTAAGCAACATTTTATAATTAAATACATAAATAATCATTACACCAACTCTTTGAGGCAACACCTATTGAGATTTTGGCCTATATAAAATAAAAAAATAAATATAAAATCAATTTATTTATTTGATAGGAATCAGGCTAAAGACGCACAGAGAGTGAGC